CAGCCTCCTCCCCTATAAACGGGTGTCAGGCTCTTACAGAGACTGTCTGGCTGCAGTGTGGCCTTTCCACATTAATTAGTTGAAGGTGATTTAGAATTCATGAGTAAAGGCTGGCAACATCCGTCAGGAGCAACACAAGCCTCCTCTCTGCCAGCCCAAAGTTGCACTTCTCTAAAAAATGAAAGAACTCCTACAGATGCATCACAAGTTTGTTCGCTTGTGTGGACTTTTTCTGCATTCAAAAAACACTTCTCACAGAAAGAATAAGTGGGTAAATGCCCACAAATGAGCAGCAGTCTGTACACGCTGACAGTCCATCAAGCTAAAAGAGGAAGGATGCTTTGCATGGAAATGATGCAGATGCATACAGAGCTAATCACTGAGGCAGAAATAAGCAGGAGGCTTCAGAAGTGTGGAGTAGTCTATATTCTTCTCATGTATGGGATGAGGTGCTGGCGCATTTTGCTTGAATTCATCCCATTCGAACTTGTCCTGCTCCCTAATTGAAACCCCTCTCCTTGGGTAGGCATTGCATTAATTCTTCCAGACAGAGGCTCTTATCAAAATGCAGCAGGCCTACTCGGGTAAATAAAGGTCTGGCACGGGGGAGGCAGCAGCACACTACAGCTGAGCTGTGGGCGCATATAAAAAAGATATTAGATCCATTCTAATTATGCTGTTGGAAGCATGGTGGCTCGGCCTTCGCCATGTACAGTAGAGGTCAGAGAGAGAAGTACAGCAGTGATTATGAAATCGATAGCTCTTCACTGAAGGGCCAACGGATTCTAAAAGGCCAATTATCATGACAGCTGCCTCAGCAAATACATGGTATTTTTCTACGGCAAAAATCTGATTGGAAATAAAACTGTTACCCATGAGCAGAGCTGGAGTTGTAATTAAAAAGTTGGGAAAGCCCTGACACAGATAGGAGCATCCCATCTATTTAATTGTGCATTGTGAAAAGTTGACTATTTAAAGAGCACTGTAAACAATAGAACCCTTTAGGCTGTCCTTAGCAGAAACACAGTGGTCCATTTGTCCAAATACCTAAATATATATGAATAAATGAATGTGAATGTGTATGAATGAGTTAGTTTCTGTTTGATGGGCTTTACTGAGGGAATTTGTGTGAAAGGGTGAATGTGCCATGTAGTGTAAAAGTGCTTTCAGTGGTCAGACGAATAGAAAGGCGCTATACAAGTACAGGTCCATTTACCATCTATTTACCATTGTTCGATCCCTCAGGATGTTTTTTTCACTATTATTTCTGGTTAGTAATAATGAGTATTTTGTGAACGAGCCGGCTCCTTTAAAGCTGCAATAGGTACGTTTTATGAAAATAACTTTTTGCCATTATTGGCTGAAACTTTCACTATATCCTGACAGTAGTCTCATAAATCTGGTTATTCTGGCCCCTCCTAGCGCTCCTAATGGCATCATCTGAACAAAAAATCAGAGCAGAGAAAGAGGGAAAAACTATTTTGGTTTGTGGCTTGAAGATAGTTGATTGTTGAGTCTCATTCCCAGCCTTGGTATTTGACAACCTGGTAATGAAACTCAACAATTAACAATATTTCTAAGTGATGATGGGAGCTGGCTCCTGTCTGAGAGCTTATTCCTTTTTCACATAAAAAAAAAAATCTAAATGAATGTTGTTCCTTAATGTAAAATAAGTAATTTTAATTTTTAATTTCAATTTTAATTGATTTAGTACTATTTAATGGACTCTGTCTCTATGTCAAACTTAAAAAGGTGAACAGACTTTTTTAAAACAAGTTGACACTGAAATCAACATTTCTCTTGCTGAAAACACATCACCAATATTTCTTTGATACTGATTGCACCGTTCCTCTAGACCCAAGAATGTGCACTGGGGCAAACCCATTTCACTCATAGGTCAATAATGTCTAGAGGCTAGAACGCCCTGGAACCAGCTTCTCTCTTCTCTGGCCAAATTCCCCACCAAGAGGCTTCACCGCGGTATCCCTTTGATGAGCACAGATTCTGTCTCATTAATGAGGGGGGAATTAGGGGAAACAGGGATCCTTACCAGCCCTAATTCTTCTGATGTCTCATTATAATCCAGTACCCTGTTCTACAGTGGTCCCTGTCTAAAGGATAGTGTGGGGGCATAAACTCTCCATTCGGCTACAACTCCCAGAGGATTAGGTTTCTGATGTGGTAGGTCTCTGGGTAGAACAGTGGGCCACCAAGCCACAATAAAAAAACTAAAGACATGGCAGCCCATTGAGGCACTGAGTTTAATTTGATCCTGAAATAATTCCATTTTAAAAGGCTACTACATACAGTCACAGGGGATTTCTAATTGGCTGTCGTTCCACCACTATGTACATAAAATCCAGAATACATTCTTAAATGATAACATAACAGCCTTAGGTTGGTTTCTATTCCCACTTTAAATCAAGTTTTAAAAAAATACATAGGCTACTGTAAATGTGGATTTAATTCAATAACCATCAAGTCTTAAAGCTTGCCAGTTGTGAATGCCATGACAAATATGTGTAATAACAGCCATTTACTCTCATTATAATCCATTATATTATAACTGCTCATTTACCTTATCTGATTAATAAGCTGGTAAAGAGAAGTAGAGAATGTGTTTATTATTGGAAATGCATTGATGTGAAAACTGTCAATCACTTAATTTATGTCATAGCAAATTTGTTTAATTGCACGGACTATGGTATGTGGATGTGGGTTGATTAAGCTGTCGTTTTTTATTACAAATTATTTACGTAGTCATCAGTTGAGAAGAAAATTATTTAAGAGGAAAGGAAAATGGGCGACGCCAACTAGAAGTTGTTAATTGAAGACTGAAATGGATATGGGTTGTTTAGAAGTTGCTATATTTATCCAAAAACTATCTACAGAACAACCCATTGACAGCATATAAGTGTCTTAAACCTGCATTCTTTCTAATGGCCACCAGGGGACAGCTCCATGGGCTGCAAAGAAGAAGTCCGATAGCCTTGAGTCTTATGGAGAAATTACCCTACTTTTGGTGTGATTTATTATCTCAGTAAACTTCTAATGCCTTTATGGTCTCGATCACTAGTTTCAAGTTCTCTTCCATACATCATGATGTTCATTTTGTAAATTATGGTTCTATCTAGAATAAAATAGACGATAAAGCATCCAGCGCAACACACAAAACTCGGATCAAACTGTCAAACTAGGTAGTGTCAATCAAATAGAAGATTCTGTTAGTGTATTGCCTATTTCTCTCTTAAAATCTGTTCAGAAACATATTTTAGTGTACTCTTTAGTATTGTCTAACATATGACCAGGTTAGCCGCCATTTTGAGTCAAAACTGAGCGCAGCCAATATGAGGTGCTCAACTCGCAGTACGTCACTGCTACTTGTTGCAAAATTCAACATGGCGATGGCCATAATGCTGAACTCAAGGTGTCAAAACACAACTACACAAACCAATGGTTGACGTCAGGATATGAATATTGTACGGACATTTTACTCTGATGATACTGATCTGTAGCCTGCTGGATACTCATTTCAGCCGAGTACTTGCTCAACCCTACTAAATGTGCATATTATGTATAAATTCTAAATCTTTATCACATTCTTGTGGGAAATCAAAGACAAAATATAGTATAAATAAAGACTAAAATATCTTGTTCAAACAGTATTCAAACAGAGGTACAGAGCCGTAGTAACAGTAGTCATTAGATCTATAAATGTGCCTTTAATGTGACACTTCTTATCTCAGTTTCCTCCATCCAACCTATAATCAATGCATTAGCTCCAAAGCACCGGGAGATATGAGTGATTCATCATTTTACTAATTCATAATTTGAGTGGTGCTGCAGTACCGATGCAAACACAGCTCACTACACCCGCACACTGTCTCCTTTGTCCTCAGTATTCAGTGAATTTGTCGTGTGTGCTGAGTCATGCCTTCTCCGACCGTCTGTGAAAACAAACTGTTCACACCACTCCAGGTAAGTGAGTGCTCCAAAAAAGACAGTACACAAGGGTCAACAGTGAGTTCTAGATGTTTTTAAATGTTAAAATCAAAAAGCACACAAGGTGACTGAGTCTGTTCTATCTGTGTTTACTTGTGTATTGTGCCACAAACTCCCCATCAAGCTTTTACCTCTGCAAACCACATGCAGTGATTGTCTGATCAGAGCTATTGTAAGTTAGTGAGCATGCTTTTCCCTTTGATTTGGTTGCATTTATCAGTGACACATTCTGTGTCCTAGATTGTAAGAAACTTATGTTCCAATTCAAAATATCACAATGCAAAGCATGGGTGTAGGGCTGGCTCAAATAGCATGTTTTTTAGCTTTGAAGCATCAGTGGGAATGACCTGTGAATAGCCAGAGCTTCAACTGGGATGTCTGTAGACTCTCAGTAGGCCTATGTTTTATCAAATTGCCCAAAAAACAGATTTTTCACCTATGATTCCATTTTCACAACAACAGGTGTGTGTTGAGGAGGCTTGTTGTTGATGAGATTGTTGAATGCTAAAATGGGTCGCTGGCCATTAATATGCCTGGGCAGCCCACCCAAGTGAAGTCTATGTGGGAACACTGGGGATGTAAAAAATATTTATGTGTCATAGATAATATATCTATACTATATAAAGTAATAAAAGTAATACATTGATTAATATCATTCTGTAATCACACGTCAATCATTCCCCAATCACATTACATTGCAACTCATATCATCGCTGTCAGGTTGGTCTGCCTCACTGAACTGCTGCAGCTCGCACGATTGAGGTGACCACACAGAAAGCTTTTTTGCGCTGAAAGTGCTGCTGTCAGCACGATCTTTCTATACAGAGTTTGCTTTTGATAAATACAGTACAATAAGAGCCCTGTTCACATATGAATGGATTCTGTCCACAGAAATGCCAGAGAGTTTCCAAACTCAAACAGATACAGAAGGTGTTGAGATTAAAAATACACATATATTTTTTTATTTTGGTGACATATTCCACATAAATTCAATTCAATTCAATTCAATTCAATTTTATTTGTATAGCGCCAATTCATAACAGAAGTTATCTCAGGACACTTTTCAAATAGAGCAGGTCTAGACCGAACCCTTTAAAAATAATATATACACTGTACCTGTCGTGAAAGGTGTCTTTTGCTGGTATAATGTCAATATGACTGTGAACATTGAAAAAAAACAAAAAACAAACATGTTTTTACAATAATGGAATACCACATCAAGTCACGGGATGAAATATGTGTATGTGAATGTGTGTATGTAAATATGGATATGAGGTTTCAGCCTGACAGTGACCATATGAAACAAAAAAAAAGGTCAATCTCAAACCCATAGTGGACATAGAGCCTACTGTATACCACATCGAGGGAGGCTAAAGTACATTACTATTTAATGTCAATCAAAATATTTAAGACAACATGACTATGATGGCTTATAAGCAACATGTTCACCTATTTTCTTTCTATTTTCAACAATTTTATCTCAGTGATGCTAGGTGAGCTAGTTAACGTTGCAGTTCAGCCAAGGAGGATGCCATTAACCTTTTTACATCCTGCACTGTCACAAGCACGAGCCTCTCATCCGTGATGTTCTCAGCAAGTTCTGTGGATTGGTTTGATTCATGATTTCTGGAAAGAGACATTGCTTTTGAGTTTTTCTTTTTTTTTTTTATTGGGGCGCTTTGAGCACCACAAGTTGAGTGCCATCTGGTTCCTTTACACAAGGAAAACAGATGCAAATTAGCTGTTAGCTAACTCTGGTGCAAGTTTTAATTGTGTGCTGTCCCTGCAAAAATAAAAATAAATAAAATATCTCCAAAACAATCGAGATTGATAAATTTAGCACTACAGGTAAGAGGTAAAAATATGTATTTCTATTTTTGACAAATGTGTTTTTTGACAAAGGTGTCAAAAAAGTTTTTTTGTTGTTGCTGTTTTTTAAATAAAAGAGGTAATCTGAGGGAAAATTGCAAAATTGGTTTGCATTTCCATCTGCCAGTGTTGTTTTTGATAGCGCCAAAGCCAGAAATCTTCCACATAGTGGCTTAAACAAACGCTTTATTCATGGAAAGATCACTTATTTGCATATCAGAAATTTCCCCATAGACTAAAGTAGAGCTCAAAAAGAAGAGAGTGGAGGGATTGCTGTGCGAGAAAAGAAAGGCTTTTTATTCTTTTCTGCCACCCAGTATTTTCCTACCAGCTGGGAAATGGCTAACTAAGAGTTTGGCTGTCCAATATAAAGTCTTAAACATTGTTCTGGTTTTTATTGTAGCAGGGACCCTGGAGATTTGCTTCCATTTCTGTCTTTGTTTTATTTGTCACAAAGAAAAGCAAACCTTGTATTAATTTAAAGTATGTGCCATCAGTGCCAAAACTCTCCCCTCCTCCTGGGTATCATCCAATCATCTATAAATGAACAGTCAGTGTTTTTAGGCTAGAACCTTCTGCTGCCAGCAGCCTAGTGTCTGTGACACGGTTTGTTCTACACCTGCTGACATACATACAGTATACATGTATACAAGGTTAATTAGCAGCAGGGGCACCTCGCTGTCTCCACTGAACTCTCCCTGCTTTGCCCCCCTCTCCAGCAGGGCTCCATCTCTACACTGCTACACACCCACACATGCTGAGTTTGGCTGGGACCCCCTCCTGCGAACATCTGACCCTCCTGTCCCAAAATAGATTAAAAGTGGACCACAGTTAGAGGTGTAAAATGTCAAAATATTGTATTGAAATATTTTGTTTTGTGATATTGTATTGATTTCCTAAAAACACTGCAGCAGTTTTTCTGTTTAAACCCCAGACCGCTATAGAGTCATAAACTGATGTCTATGATGTTGGATGTTACAGGGACTGTGATAAATACAAATGCAGATCCCACTGTTCTGATTTGGGGACCTGCAGCCAATCATAGTCCAGCATGGGGTCTATAAAGCCTAAGGAGCTGCACTAGTCTCTTTTTTGGTGCTGTGTGGTTTGAGCTTTGCTGTCAGGGTTTAGTTCATAGCACTTTCTCAACATTAGATGTTGTCTGGTTAAGGCTAAAGAGTTATTAACCTTGCTGTTAGTTTTCCAGTTAATTTATTTTCAATAATTTGAGATTGTTATCTTTTTTTTTTGTTGGATTTTATTAATTGTGACTACCCCTGAATTCCACCACCCTGAATTCCACCGGTCATGGGCCGACATGGTCACCGGAGCTGATCACGCCTGTTATAGACAATGTTCGAAATTACACCAGAAGTGCAGTAGCAAGTCCCAGAAGCGTTACTCATCACTGCAGCATACACCAGAAAAAAAACTGTTTTCATATTGGCCCAAATCGGCTTACATATATGTAGATACCGGTACGATATCAATAGATGTGCAACTGAGAGATCGGTCATCCACTTTTTCCTTCTTAAGCGGCTTTGAAATACAGAAAACAACTAAAGCCTATTTTATCATTTAGGTACAAGGACATTTATATGGCTATACAGTATTTTATTTAAAAAGACATTCTGAGAGTCAAGAGAACCATTTAGGACTTATTTCCCCTTCATCAACTCCAAATCTTTCAGTCCAGCAGCCTGACAACAGATCTGCATTCCAACACTTTAACTGTTCCTCCATGTACTATATATGTGGAGACAACTGTAAATTGAAGAGCTGACTTCAACTGTAGGCACAACTATTTAATTCTATTATTGTCATACTTTTCACGCCTTTTTCTCCTGCCAAACTGTAAAATAAAAGTCAATAAGAAATATGAAATCAAACTGCCACTACTGTATTACCACAAAAGGAGCACATAGGACAAACAGCAGGAGTTGTTTAATGCATTAACGTGTTGTTGTGGTTTGAGTGCTATTGACGTCTTGGGAAGTGACGGCCTAGAAGGGAAACACTTCCATCGACCCGGCCGGCCTCCAGAGCGCAGATGTGCTGCTTGGTGCATGATCAGAGCTGGGCTCTAAGACCGATTGACAGAGCCCAGAGGGGCCTTTCCTGGCCACTCAGCAGAACGCTGATACGACCATTTAAATGGAAGGACAAGGGGCATCTCTCACTGTCCATTAAGATCCCGAGGGGGACCTGGTGCGTTGGTCATTAAAGACTGCTTTACAACAAGAGCTTGTAAATGGAGGGTCTCCTGTTGGTTAGGTGGGAGAATTAGTCATGTGTCAAATGAATTGGTCATAATCCTGCTGTAAATATGAGGGCGTTTTTAAGCCAGTAGCATGGTGGGGCAGAGATGTTGGACAGACATGATGAAAGCAAGGAGTTTTTTTTGTACAGTGTTGTACTTGGGGAATATTTCTAATGGTGACCCTCTGACTTTTCCTTTTTCATGAGGTTGACATTTGTAGACTATTGTAAACTATTAGATGGACTGCCATGAAACATGATACTGACATTCATGGTCGCCAGAGGATGAATTGTAAAAACTTGACATTCCATCTATAGCACTGCCAGAATGTCAACATAGGGGGATGGATCTGCACAGAATTTGGTGCAGGAATGCATAGATCCCAGAGAATGAACCCAGGTTTGAAAAAACACTGCAAAAGTGCCCTCTTGAAGCCCCAATGGTAGAAAAAACAGCTTAGTCCATCGAAGTGGATAGAACATGATAAAGTACCCTCTAGGGTGCCTTTCCAGTGGACAAAAATAGGGAAGAGCAGAAGTGGAAAGCCTCTAAAGAGATTCTCAGAAATTTTAATACAGAGGTTAAAAATGATAGAGCACAGTATTTTTTTTGTACCTCATTAAAAAGAACTACGGGATTTTATTCAATGCAATTTACCGTGCCACCGAGGGTCCTCCAAGACTGCACATTATCCCTTCTGCACAAGACACAACGACATTTTAAAGCCTTCTTTGAGTCCTTCCACACAGTATCTATCGACACTCTCACTGAGGTGATTAATAGAATGAAGCCCTCTTTGTGGCATAATTATGAAACCCACTGCTTTCCTGCATTCAAGCACTAGGATTGGCCAGAAAGCAGACACCTTATTTAGAAAAAGCTTAATACTTAGAATAAATTGTGCCAAAGTCAAAGGGTAGGAATAAAGTTGTATTAGATGAATGGGTTAGGGCCTTAGGGCATTAGGACTTGCACCTGAGAGACTGGGGATTAACAGCCACATATGTTTAGCTATTCCTCAGCCTCCTTTAGTGATAGTGGTACATGTATTAAGTGTAGTTTATTTACTGCGCTGGAGGCGAGGCTCATTGATCTAGAAGTACGGTACCGCACCACAGAATTATCTTTCGCTGCTATAGTTAGCCAGCCCCCAGTAGTTGGTGCGGGCCGACCAAAGGTAGCTTCTGTCAGCCATCCCCCGGTAGTTCCCGAGCAGCCGGGAAGCCAGGGAGAGTGGGTGACTGAACAGAGGAAGGAAAAACTGCTGAAGCCCACAGTTCACCACAAACCGATTCACGTTTCTAACAAATTTCCCCCACTCAGTGACACACCCGCTGAGGAAACAACTCTGGTTATTGGCAGCTCGATAGTCAGAAACGTGAAGTTAGTGAAGCCAGCAGCCACGGTTAAATGTATCCCTGGGACCAGAGCGGGCGATATTGAATCATATTTAAAACTGCTGGCGAACGATAAGCGTAAATATAGTAAAATAGTTATTCACATTGGAGGAAATTACACCCAATTACGGCAATCGAAGGTCACTAAAATTAATGTGGAGTCGGTGTGTACATATGCAAAAACAATGTCAGACCCCTGCCCTATGTGACCAGTGATGACATATATAGCCGCATGTCGCCAAAGAATAGAATAGTTTATTTAAGGATTTTCAGTCAGGATTTAGAGTTCATCACAGCACAGAGACATTAATAATGACCTTTTGATTGCTTCCGACAATGGACTTGTCTCTGTACTTGTATAATTAAATCATAATGCTGCATTTGACACCATTGACCATAATATTCTTTTACAGAGACTTGAGCATCAAATTGGCATTAAAGGAACCACACTAAGCTGGTTTAAGTTATACTTATCAGATCGTTCGCAGTTTGTACATGTTAACAAGGAATCTTCAATAAATACTACAGTTAGTCATGGAGTTCCACAAGGTTCTGTACTTGGACCAATACTATTTACTTTATATATGCTCCCTTTAGGCAACATTATTAGGAATCACTCTATTAACTCCTACCATGGTCCTGCTTGACTGCCATTGCCAATATCACTGACATTAGTGTTATTATTATTATAAGTATTATTATTGCTACAGTTACTGTTGTTGCTGTTGTCACTGCTCATTGTCCCCCATCGTTGCTGTTGTCATGTTCATCATCATCAGTCGACCACCCACCTAGAGCCGAAGGGTCCTAGGTTTCTGCCTCTTAATACACAGTTTTTCCTTGTCCCCATCGCCAAGTGCTTGCTCATGGTGGTACTGTTGGGCCTCTGTAAATGTTATAAGGAGTTCGGTCTAAACCTGCTCTATTTTTAAAAGTGTCCTGAGATAACTTCTGTTACGAATTGGCGCTATACAAATAAAATTGAATTGAATTGAATAAGACAGTTTTTTACACTTAGTTGACTCATCATTTTGTGTTGTTGCACTTTGGTTAGGTTTAGGGAAATATCATGGTTTGGATTCAAATAGATGCATTTACAGCGTTAAGCACATTAGAAAACCTTTCTGGCAGAAAATTCTCACACTCACATGAGCATACACACCTGGCCAATCCTAGCACTTGATTGCTACGCAGGGCGTGTCTTGCTATGAAAAGTAGTGGGATCAATAGTATCGCGTCTTTGTATGCTCTTGACATTCTGCCCATGAAATTTCAAAAAGAAGGACATGGATCTGTCAGTCCCCTATTGACTGGTTCTATCCCTGCCTATTTTAAGAATCTATGTATGTAACTTTGTACAACTCCTAAAAAAAATAAACTTGTTAGACCTTAACTTCAGACCAATTTCTAAACTGCCCTTTCTTTCTAAGATTATAGAAAAAGTTTTTGCTAAACAACTGATTGCTTTTTTAAACAGAAACTGACTCTTCTGGATTTAGGGCGAACAACAATACAGAGACTGCTCTCCTTAAAGTGATTAATGATCTTCTGTGTGTTGTCGACGCTGGAAAATCTTTTTAGTTCTATTAGATCTAAGAGCTGCTTTTGATATAGTTCTATTGTATTGAATGTCTCAAGCACTGGATCGGCATCTCTAGTTCAGTTTTAAAGTTGTTTTATTCCTACTTACAAATGATGTCTTTTAGTGTAGCCACTGGCAACTTCTGGTCATCCTCTTTGAAGATAATAGGGTACCTCAGGGGTCTGTCCTCAGACTCCTCTTGTTTGCGCTCTACATATTACCCCTGGTGCATGTCATCCATAGACATAATGTAAGATTCTATTACTACACAGATGACACTCAATTGTACCTCTATTTGAACCCAATGAATTTATGAATTTAATTTAAATGAATACACTCAACAGCTGCATCCTTGACCTTAAATCCTGGATGTCCCAGAAGTTTTGATAAGACTAAGGTAATTATTATTGGCCCTAACAAAGTTAATGCTTGATGTCCTTTAAACTTTTGTCAATATTAACATGCCACACATTGTTAGATGTGATTGTTGAATCCTCCACAATTCAGTCATTCAGTTCATTTTACAGAAACCATGGCCACCAAAGTATCAAATGAATGATTCATTCAAATGTTATTAGATTTTTATAAAACTAAAAACTAAGAGTTGTGTAATGATAACCCCTTATATTTCCATTATTCATTCCCACCCAGACAATCAACAGTTGCACAGCTTTTATTTAGATTTAGTTTAGACTACAGTTTTTGGAAGTGGCGTTTAAATACAGATAATGCTAATTCTGATTTATGCTAATTAAGGTATTATATTATTTACTAAAATTGTGAGCAATTAAACTTACAAATATAATTAATGAGACAGTTTTCAATAATGTGTGAAATTACCAGATACAGATGGTAGCTTTGCGTTGCACACCCATAATGACATATGTGGGGATTGAAAACTGTGTTGAGGTACAGAGACATTTTGTGAATTTTAGTGTGTTGCAGATCCTATGTTAAGATGGAAATGTTGCTCCTACCACCTCAAACTGATGCCCACATACATAATTCAAGAAATCAAGGGCGACCAGCTCTCATAATGTGTTCACTGTAAAGCCTGAGGCACTTTTTATTGAACCCAGGCGACCCCTCACTGCATCATTTGCTTTCCTTTAAACTGCGGTATTCTCTCAACTGTATACATTTATATTTAATTTCCTTTTATTGCAGCTGTAACAGGGAGGCGCCTCTGTAAAGTGGAAGGGTGTACCAGTCGTCCTCACGGAGCGCTGCTGATGTACGAAGACGGAAGAGATCGCTTTGTGGAACACTTGTTTGCACACAATCTGCTGGTTTCAATGGAAGCTTTAAGCCACATAGTGTGTGCCTCAAAAGAGGAGAAGATTAACAGCGAGAGATAAACCGAAACAGAGAGAAGGCTCTGAGAGAGTGTGTGGACCATGGAAATGAGATGCTGATGCTCTGTTAGCTCGTTTGTCACTGTTCTCCTTTGCAGGAAAGCCCGTGTATTCAAGTATTCAAGGCCGCTTTTTTACTTTACATTTTTCTTTCTGCATTAGATCACTATTGAGTCTCCACAGCAAAGAATATTTGAGAACAGCGATGATGTGCCAAAGTGTGATATCGCAGCTGAACGTCTGCTGAGGCATATCAAAATGACTATTCCCTTGCCAGTTTAACACTGGCAGTGTCATACAAGTGGAAAGCAAGGTGGAATAGATATAGATGTGATTAAAAATTAAGTGAGGAATCAATTCCTACCATAAATAATTCAGTAGACCAGTGAAGGCTCAGATTAAAAGCATACGAAATTATTAAAGGAAGAATGAGATTGTGGATACAAGTGGCCAAAATGAGATTCCTCTGTAGGGTGCTGGGCTAACCCTTAAGGGTAAGGAGGGAGCTTGGAGTAGAGCTGTTGCTCCTTTGTGGTGGTTCAGGCATCTGACCAGAAAGCCTCCTGGGTAGACCAAGAACACACAAGCCATTATATATATATATATATATATATATATATATGGCATCTTGTTTAGGAACGTATTAGGAACCCGCAGGAGGAGGCTCTTTTGAGGAGCTGGGGGATGTTGCTGAGGAGTTATTGTTATGTTAGATCCAAATGAATCCATGGAAAATATACCTGGACTCAATGTGTAAGAAACTAAAAGATATTTTTTGCATTAGATATTTGTGCAGACAAAAAAAAAACAAGACACAAAGTACACAAAGACAGTCACACCTGGTCAGAGACCCGAGGATAATTATGGCAAAAGTAGCGCCATCCACCAAAATAAGACTCACATAGAAAGAGAACACCAACAATGGCAGCAGAATGATGATAAAAATAGGAGAAATAAATGTCCTTTTTCTTGCATTTTACAACAAAAAAACAATTATTTCCATAAACCCGATTCTACAGAACTACAATGTCCCTGGTTCCACCTGTATATTTCCTGTAAGTCATCTTTTTTTCTTCATTTAAAATTTAAATATAAAACATAAGGATCTTGAATCCTCAAAACAAAACAATAAATCCAATTATTCCATGATATCAAACTCCCAAGATATCAAAAGACAACAAAGAAGTTAGTGTTTAATTCCACAAAGCATTATTGCAAAACATGTTAATCTGATATTGTCTGGCCTTAATTGTGCATTAAACTCCTCTTTGCCATCGCAAATCTGCTTCCCAACATCATCCTCTCTATCACCTGCTCCTGTAATCAAATTTATTCTCTCATCACTCGAAGCTGAATAAAACATGAGGTCTATTTGCATCACTGAGGAAGCATTGAGTCTCATAGCAAGTGCAGAAAGCACAGTGTCTGCAGCCTCTCTCCTCCTAAGTAGTAGCATCCTCTCGGTCAGAGGCCTCCGATATCTTCATCTCCATAAAATCCCTTTTGGTTCAAGTCGAGGTTGCACACTTTGGCAGCAGAATATAAAATGGCATCCAGCAGAACTACTTCCATCGGATCTTGGCATTCTTCTGTTCACTACCCTTCTTGGCAATTCAGCCATAGCCTGGGCTTTGGAGATATGCAGACTTGAGATATGCTTTTGCTTGGTGTTGAGAATAGAGAAATCTGTGAAAAGTTCTGCCACCTTGCACATAGTAGTGTTATTTGTTTTGGTCTTTAAGAGACAAGGAGGATTTTCTTAAGACTAGTAACACAAAGATGTTGGCATACACAGAACTACTTTGGAGTATTTAGATGCAAACTTTTGGATTATGAGCATTTCTGTCAGACAAATCAATTAAAATACTTAAATCACTGTTGCTTTAGTGGATTTCATGAAGCTCCTGTATAGTGAATCCCTAATTTCCCTCAGTCAGGTGATGACTTTTCTTTACAAAGCCTCCCCAAAGATATAACATTCAGTCAGCATCTTTTGATTCCGCACGTCTGAGACAAGATTGAAGGGAATGTACAGAAAGAGGCCTGCCTACATTATCTGATGCACATTCAGTCGGATGGACTGTTTGGCAGCCCCTTAAGATGAAAAAAAAAAAAAAAAAATCTTAATATCTAAAATGAGGTCATCCATACAATGTCTCTCCCTGGCATCCAGTGTTTTTAGACTTTGCCTGTAGAGGAGCTTCTTGTCTAAGCGCAGATAAAATCCGGATATAAAACCTGACGTTGAAGATGAATGTGTCCCACAGCCACTCTCGCCTATCAGTCGTGAGCACAGATGAGGACAGGGGCCTGGGAAACATGTCAGGCAGCTATCTCTGCTGCCGCTCCCCTCCTCTCTCCTGCCCTCTTCACTCGCAGGCAGAATTGAAGTTGAAAAGGTTTGCGGCAAGGATAAAAGAGAAGAGTGATTGACACAGATGCGAAAGAATGCTCATTAATTTTGTATTTTTTTGGAAGGACAGCTTTTAGGGTGTAGCCTCAAGCACTCTTATGGATTTTATAACAGGAATGTTCAGAGACACACTTTGATTTGGGGGCATTTGGATGGCTGACCAACCCCACCAGGGGTCAGCAACCTTTACTATCAAAAGTGCCACTAGCTATCTAATTAACTAGCGTTTTGCCAACATTTGCTATCAGATGTATGTAGTGTGTTAACAATTAATGTATATTAGCTAGCTAGTTAGATGTTTTGCTCTGAAGCAAAATGATAGGTAACTAGGGGCTAACTATGTAGATAATGATTGATGTAAATTAGCTAGCTAGTGTGCGTTTTGCTAATATTAGCTAACCTAAGATGGGACTATATATCTTTTACCATCTTTTTACCAAGTTTCACCAACAACAAGCCTAGCATGTAGCATATCTAAGTACAGGAAAGGAGAAAGTTCATCAAGGTTCTGACAAAGACTTGCTCAACTGTTATTGAAGCACAGAGCAAAAAGGGGTGGGACTGGAGAATGTAAGAATCACTATAGGCCTACAACAGTGATAAATGTTAAAAAGTAACTGTTGGTTATTTCAATATGAAGCTGCAGGAGAGGGGCTAAAGGGCTGCATGGTTGCCTACCCCTGTAATTTACAGTGACCTAGGCAAAATGTCTGAAGGGGACAGTTTGGGATTTTTGAAGTGGGGTTGTATAAAGTACTTATCCATACCTTACCTGCACTAGATGGAAGTCAATGCACACCCCATTTGAAGAAGCAGCAAAAGGATCCCGGCACAGAAGCAGAGCAATGCACTACTGTGGATGGAGGCTGCAGAAAAACTTATTTTATCCACAAAGAAAAAGGCCCACCTAAAACAAATCAATATCAGCTTCGAGTGTTCATTCTATTGAGAATATTTTCAAATTTTCAATGCTTTACCTTGCTATAAACGCTTTTTTTCTAACCATAGATCTGTATTCCTAGGCATAAGATTTCATTCTGATCTTGCTACTTTCTGACCCAAACAGCTGATCTGCAGCATAATACAGTGTGCAATGCACTTGAGCTTATGTGTAATACAGAAGTTCTACAGTTAGTGCCAAAGAAAAGGGTTGTCTGACAGCAAGATAAAGCAGTGGAAACATCCTTAATAAAGCATACAATTAAAATGATACTGGTGTTTTGAGGTGGCTAAAATGTTTTTTTTCTGCAGCCCCATTCACAGCAATGCAGCTGTTTCAGGACTCCCTTTATGTATGACAAAAAGTAATGCTGAAAAACTTTATTTTAGCCATTCACTGGAAAACATTATCTTGAAATGGGTCAGAGGGAGCACAAATGAGAAGGAAGATGCCAAGCTCCACAACATTCTTCAAAAGATGGATTTCTATTTCAAAGAAAACTACATGCAGCAAGGCATCAATGAACTGTTGTAGACTACATACACTTCCACATGCTCTCAATCAATCGAAAACAGACCCTTGTAAACTTGTTCCATGGCAACACAGCGAATCACTCAGCATAAAATGCAAGCATGCAACCAAGTAAAAATCTGTCCTGTTATTAAAAAAAATAAAAATACTGATTAAGGTTTTTTCAGACTGACCTCAAATCAAGTTGCATTATTTGTGCAAATTTGACTGGGCAGTTTTGCAGTAATTGCCCCTAACAGCCGACTGTCCAAGTGTTAGCTGTTGCTAGCTAACAACATATGCACTTACTGTGTGTATGTCTTCTGCCTGTGATGTATCCCACCAGCAACTCTGGCTCTTTCGCTGGTTGTTTTCCTCCCGTTTTTGGATGTTTGATGTGATGACTTGGGATGAGCTTTTGAGTTAAAACACCCCTCAGTTTCTTCTGCCCAGAAGCCCCTAAATTGTCCTATTTTTTTTTTTTTTTTATCTAACACACCTTTATCATATCACTTGTGTTACGTCCCCGTTTTAAGTATATAACAATGCTTGGCATGTAACAATAAGTAATAGCCAAGTCATATATTACAACTGTAGAAATGTGTTCTGGTTGGATACCCCATCAACAGGACTACATTGTCTGTCTATGACTTCCAAGTCTGTATTACTGTTGAAAAATAAAGGTTGCATTCTCTCAAGAAAATTTTGCGATCCCTCAAGAGAAATATTTTGAATGGAAAAAAGTACTTCCACTCAAAACCCAAGGGAAACGGCAAACCAAAGCTATGGAGAGGTGTTTTACCTCAAATACAAAGTAATTAAGTCAGCGTTTAACTCTAGGCATGGTTTTCAAATAAGTGAAAGACTGTGGTAAAGGAGAATATATCCTGCAAGCGGATATTACTGCCGGAAAAACATACTCAAGCTTGGCGGACCTAGCTGATTTCATTACATTTAGACTAGAGATATCAGTAATTGTGAAGTTTTTCAAGAATACTGCAGTTGGTTGTAAATTTAATCAACAAAGTCTGCAATGCTTGAAGACGTAAAGTTGTGTGTTATTGTCCAGTAATCAGTGAGGCCTGGCCTGCAGAAACACAGTTCTTGTCTTCTTGTCTCATTTGTGGTCAGATAAACCGTAAATTCCTCAAATTCAGTGTCCCATATTGCTAGTTTTATCAAAATCAGTGACTGAAGTCATAAAGTTGTGTTTTTATTTAGTAAGGCCCTGCCTTCTCGCCTTTTTATGCCAAAAGTGGACTAGCTGCCTGGCTAACTGAGATAGCAGAAGTGCCTCTTGTGCATGCTCTTACAGAGTTCTGACATTTTGTCTGCAGCCAGGTACTCGCACAAAAAAAGTTTTTTTTTTTTTGTTGTTTTTACATTGATATTTTTTTCTTATCTGGGCTGTGGTTGCACGACTGTCACGCCACAGTCCACGGTTTTCATCCAGACTCTAGCAACAGAAACGCTTTGGTTAAGAGGTTAGGGAAAGACCATCATTTTGTTTTTAACATTAAAAACACCTTATGTCTCAAGTCATTGCCAACTTTTAAGTAATGTTGTAGTCATTATGAGTGGATAGTATTACAAAATTGCCTATTTTGGCAGGGAAAAATGAATGAAATACAGTGCTAGGGAACATTTTACTGATACGTTCAGTATCAACATTTTTGCAACTTACCAGGTACATTAATTCATATTAAGAGGCTGATCACACAGAGACACATTGCTAGAAATGGGTCGACCACAAAACTATTGTTTTCCTCTGGTATGCGCTCCTCTCTTGCCCTGTGTTTCACGGTTTTTAGCCGTGCATAAAAGTTTAAATATTTTCAACTTTTCACCAACGCTTTTCGATGTCACACTTGGCCCAGATAGACAATCAAAATCAAGCAAGAGGCGGGCTTTACTACTTTACCAACGGTTAGCTTGCTAGCTAGTTGTTTGCCTGTGAGAGAGATACAGAGCAGGGGTGTAGTGGAGGGTAAACCCAAGTAACCTCAGTCACCCTGCTCTTTTAAATCAAGCTAGAGTTTACTCATCTAGAGTTCAACCCCTGCGTCAACACGCACATTAAGGTTCCCTCAAAACATATTTGTACATCAGTGTGATTTAAAGGAGACTGGGCTGCCAAAGAAAGTGTTTTTAGTACATAGCTCCCTCTTTGTGTTAATATTGATTGCAGCTCAACGAAAATTGTCTGGGAAAATACAAAAACATGAGTTTCTTTTGATGCGCGTTGAGAAGACAAAGACTGTCCTCCCAAGAAGAACGATGGCTGATTACAACCAAGGATCCCTTTATGAACTCATCATGAAAAAGCAGCTGTGGATGGCTGCAGCTTTTATTTACAACAAATCCTTTGTGACACAGACTACTTTCTGTTCCTGACATATAATTTCAGGTGATTTCTTACGCTTTTCTATCAAATTTGACTCTTTGATATGAAGCCATAAACAGTGACCTTGTCTTATAAGGCCACTTGCATTAGACTATGCAGCCAGTGAAGTGTATGTGACAGGATTACTAAAGCTATATGACTTAAATTAAATACTCAAATAAATTAAAAATGAAGTAACCCATCTGCTATACATGCATGACTTAGATCTGAAAAAATATGCAATAGCTCTAAAATTACCCACAGCCTAATTAAATCTGAAATCAAAGTCAAGAAGAAAATGAATTAAAAATGAATGGAAATTGCATAATTATTCTGCTCTGGGTTTGTGTTATGGTTTTTTTTTTTATTTGATAATGAAAAGTTGACACATTTGCACAGCAGAAAAATGTTGTTACACAGTGTAGATGAAGATATTTTGAGTCTGATCCAATGCCATTTTAACCCAGCCTTCAATTTGAATCTAAATTATTCGGAAAGTTGTCCACTGTCCTCTAAATCCAGGTTGCAAAAGATTTACCCTTCTGTCTCACCACTATGTGACAGAGGGCACATCTTCACTTACTGGATTCTGGCCCAACATATTTGATTGGTACTTAAAGGCCTGAAAGAACCATCCAATTGGAAGCTGAACTTGCCATCTTCAGCTGCTCACAGTCCACTCTGTGCTCTCCAATGGAAATCAGCCTCTCCCCCTTCCTTTTGGAGATGGATGGTTCAGACGATTTCAGTCATAGAGATGGAAAGACTCAGCTCCTTGAGAACCAATTCAATTAAAAACCATCTCAGCTATCTGGGATCCATTTCTCTCTTACCTAGACGATGCCGGGGAGGATGAGTAACTCACTCAGCTAATTTCGACTAGCTATAGCGGTCCTATTAGCTGATTCTGCCGAACCGGGAGCTCCCAGTTAACAGTACAGTCAGACTGTGCCCAAATACAGCATCCCAGGCCGACGGAAGCCACTTTGACGATACAACACTTAGGTGTTTTTTTGCAGGTTTAGGCTCCTGGCACTCCAGGGCTAGGTGTTAGCTGCACAAACTAACTTCATCCTGCTTTACCAAAATCACTAATAAGGTTGTGTTTTGTACAGTGATCAGTGAGGACAGGCCTCGAGAAAAACTCCACCCCGGTAGTGAGCCATGCTGTTGCTAGCTAGCTAACTAAGGAATCTTAGCTGTGTATTACTAAAAGTTGAAGATTCATTTGACCAGTGGATGTCATGATATCATTGGTTGAAACTGGTTGGTTCACTCAGGTAAGCATGTGTCACATTTTGTTTTACAGGAAAAATTAGGAAAAAAAGAATTTTGACATAAAAATATAATTTACCATTTTGGTATCCATTGTTAGATAAGGGTACAGTATGACTGAGGATGTAATCTTGAAGGTCAAAAAGCAATTTTTCATTTCATCTGGATTTTAGGCACTACTAAGCATTACTATAATAATTTTTTCCCTTTTTTCCCTGCACATCTGAGTTTACCTGTAACTTGACTCTTTTTATTGATTCTATATTGCGTTAAGAAAAGCCTCAAAATAAAATGTACCTATATACTAATAATATACAGACATCTGTTTTAAGATCTGTTTACAGTCACTCTGTGGTAAGACTTAAAAGGCAAACACACATAGAAAGAAATGTACCACATTTTAGGCCAGAACAGGGTAAATGACTACAGAGTAATGAGTGTGTGAGCAGGAAAAGAGAGACTACCCCCTCCTTGAGGATGAAAGACTTGGGGGGTAAAGGGGGGTGGAGCAGATGCGAGTGAAATCCTATTTCAGCAGCCCGAGGGAGCCGTAACACCAGGATCCTCCAGCGGGCCATCCGTTAGAGCCTGCTTGGCGCAAGGACAGGGGACATGTGAATTGTAGTAAGTGTAGAGGCAGACATGAGCAGAGTTGAGCAGAGATGAAAAGGGTGAGGACGCTCACAGCCTCTTTACTGGATTACACTGAGGTGAGGAGTGTCTTTGGCATTTCAGCAAGACTGCTTAAACACAATGTATGGACTAGGACAGTATTTTGACTGATCTGTTGTGTTCCTGCTTTGACCAGAAAATGTCTTTTGATTGACATCTAAATAAGCAGCCAGACAGTATTACTGTGGTATGACATGCAGAGGTCCATTCTGAAACTGAGCTACCACAATAACAGAATGTTTGTTCAAGCAGAACTCATTATTTCAAGGACAAAAGGTTTAGCTTATTTGCCTCTTTGCACTTATGTAGTGTCTGCTTTAATTGGTTTAATCTATTGGCAGAAATGGAATTTATGTAATCACTTGAAAATTTGCTGTGTTTTTGTTACCTTAGAATGAGCTGTTTATATCTACAGAGAGAGCGGGTATTCTTCCATGGAGTCCACCATGTTGAACCACCATTTTTGCAGGATAACCAATGACTTTGTTGTATTTGTATTGTTTTATTTGGTGTGATACTGCCACCTGTAGATCAGTGCAAAACCAGTTGCAGGGCTGTGTATTGTGTCACCCAGGTGGACGACATAAACTAAATGGGGACCCACTCAACTCTGGAGCTCTTAACCTCTCTTGTATTAGCCTGGTGGCAGATGTTTACGAGGTGAATATCTATAAACCTCAACTATGTCTAACCATATGTAAAAAATTTAAATAAAATTTGACAGATTGAGAAAGCTTTCAAAAAGAGACAGATTCATGTTTTCCCCCAATGATGTGACGTCTCAATCACAATTAAATCAAATGTGATAAACTGGTGCTAAAAAAAATTATCAATATTCACCCACACAATGGTAAGGCATTGTTGAAAACAATCAACTTGGTTTTCTCACTTTGTTCATAATTGATATGAGAATGGGGTGAGACACAAAGATTGAATTACACTGGGTTTGGGTTTTCTGGCTCAGTCGAACGCCGGCAGGCCGAAGAGCTGCGGCTCAAACTCCTCCAGGCTCCTGAGTCGCAGCGTGGCCTCCTGGGTAAGGCTGGGGTCCAGGTTGTCGTCAGGAATCATCACCACCTGCATGCCCGCAGCCAGCGCCGCTTTCACGCCGTTGGGAGCGTCTTCAAACACCAAGCACTGAGCAAGGACAGAGGAGAGGAAAACAAAGTGATATTATCCTATAAGCCTATTAGGTCTACAGGATTTCACTCCTGCAGACGCCACAGAGCTGAGACCAAAAACAAACACAGGAAAATGGGGAACAGGAGCACCGTTTTCATTTTCAATGTGATGAACTTGATATTCCTCCGAGGACTACTGTTCCTCTGCCAGGTGAAATATCCATTTAATTTACAAGTTGAAGAACGGTGGCCCCACTTCATTGCCTTTGTTTATATTTTCAGCCACTGCGTTGAAGATGATCTGATCTGAATTGTGCATATCAAGAGGGTGCATGCAATTACAGTTTTATTTCCCTTTTTTTACTATTTGTGTCTTGTATATGCCTCCCACCAATTGTGGAAAAATAAGACTTTTATTTTGGTTTTATTCATTATTTTATCATCAAATTATGTATTTGTTTGTTGATGATTTCCTTTTTTAAAGAGTGCAAACATAATTTTAGGGATGTTTCAGTGATGTATCAAGTGTTCCTGGATCAAAAAAACCAAGCTAGTTTCCACCGCCATGATATATAGGCCAATACTATAGGGTTAGAACAGTGAAGATACATTTTGGTATTGAAAATCAAATTTGGCATTAGAAACAAAACCTGAACTGAAAAACGAAACATTGGCGTTGAAAAAGTGGTACTGACGCTAAGATAAGGTCAACTGAAAAATAAAACAGTAGATATTTTTTGCATTGTGATGTGTTTTTCAGTAACAATCTTTTCTTTATGTCTGTCTTTTTGTTTTTTAAGGTTAGGTTATGATGGTCTGGTAGAAATCCGCTGGAACAAGCGCAAACTAACGGTAGCTAATAAATGAAAATACATAAATAAATATGTTTGGGGAAATAAATGGGGGGAAATGCAAAGGGAAAATAGATTTAAAAATGAATAAATAAAATGGAAAATTAAGTTGGGCAGTAAATAATAAAAAGTAAAATAAATACAGGAGCAAATTAAAACAAAAATATCACTTAGATCAATTTTCATCAACAAAATAGATTTCAGAAAAGTGCAGTGTTCAGTTAGTTACTATGAGTAAATGCTATACTGCACACACTGAGTAGGGGGGCTGAGAGAGAGGACGACACGCAGCAAAGGGCCGCAGGTTGGATTCGAACCCTGGGCCGCTGCAGCAAGAACTCAGCCTTGGTACATGGGTCACCAGCTCTACCCACTGAACTAGAGCCTCCAAAATGTTACACATAGCTTAATGTCTATTTACAGCATCAGTTAAATAGAATCACCAAATGGAATATATCGTGTACATTAACCCTTATCAAATGCTGAATATTGTAATTGGAATAATAGTGGAAAACTACTACTACTGTGCATGTGATCGTAGTCATTGTGGTGTCCCATTCAATGTGTGTAAAAGCGGGAATTGAACAATTCATTTTTAAATTATAGCTTGAAACCTATGACCTTTAACCCTTTTTCAACCAACTGTGAAACCAACTAATAATATTTATCCAACTACTGCACACTCCTGAAAGAGACAGTGGGTAGAGGGAGAGTCTGTTTGACCATTTGTTTCATACTATGTCCCCAATATTACATACCCATCATGGGTTTGTAACATTTTACTGCCTATAGCGTATTATGTTTAAAGTTTGAGAAATAACATGAATGACATTAGTTTGCAACCAATGAGGATTAGCTACCAAAAATGGAGTGAGAGATTAAGACCAGAACTTTGAATTTCACCACAGCGAAGTAACATTTATTCTCTTAGAGGTTAAAGAAAACTGTCTTTCTTTGTGAAGTTTATTTTTAAACAAGTAGCTGCTGCAGTGGATCCTGTCTAACAGAGTCTTTGGAAACGGATGTCATTTGTGAGGCAGAACTCACTGCGACATGCTAAGCCAAGTGAAAATATGAAACATGGAGGCTAATTGGCATTTGAGATACTTCACTGTGCACATGTTCAACAAGGACATTCCAACAGTTGCAGTAAATTAATACGGCTGAACCTTCACCAGGAGGTTAATCATTTTTCAGTATCCAATAATCACATTCAGGAGAGTGCAGACGGGAAGTGGCGTGGAGTGGAGTGTTAGAAGGAACAGTTAATACCAATGATTCAACAAGACTTTGAGCTGTCGACAGAAGCGGGGGCATTGGTATTTACTCATACAGGTGCTTAGGTAACTGCGTAGGTGTAAAAATCAATTTCAAATAACCTGAATCCACATGTAGGGATTAGGTGCAGGAAAATAACTGTGCTTCATATTGTAAGAATTTAAAGATTTGGTTTAAAGGTTGAAAGTGCAACTGCAAAATCACTATACTAGGTTCATTTTGATTTTAATTGGAACTGGAACTTTCCAATTTTTTTCTTATTGATTTGGATATTATTCCGTGATGCATATGCTTCTACCATGGGTTAGTAGTCTTGTTTTTGTCTGTTTTTACAATCGAGGCTCTGAACAGCATGTTATATTTTGAAAAGTGACCGGATTCCACTTCCTGCGATCTGCTCCGGCAGCCACGTGGCAGCCAGAACCAATACAGCCGTGGCTGGTGGAATCATGCTGTATGGAGTAGTTTTGTGCTCAAACAACCATCAAATGGCATTTGTAAGCAAAGGGAAGCCCATGGAAATGCCAGTTAACTGTATAGTTGTGCTACAGTATAACCCACTCCACTGCAGAACTTTACAAAGAGGAAGTACAGCAACACAACAACCAACTGACAATGCCAAGATATGTGGAGAATAAGCATATAAGAAGGCACGAAATGGAAAATATAATGCTTGAAAACAGCAGTTTGAGGAAAAAAAAAAAAATTAACATGAGAAATTAAATTGATGTATTGCACTTAATATGGAAATCATTTGAAACTTCCTTTACATATTTAAAACAGGGACTTAGTTGAATCTACAAGGCAAAGTTCTCATTCAAGGTGCTGCACAGTGAATCCATGGGCAATTGCAAAAATAATAATAATAATAATAATAATAATAATAATAATAATACAACTCACAACTCACTGCATGTACAGTGAGGACTTTGACACCACATACTGCAGTCATAATCATCTGCTGCTAGAGCTTATGATGGAAGTATAAAACTATAGAGTGAACCATTTCTTCCTTCTCATCTCTGTTGAAAGTTGCATGTGCGTAGTAACGATCGGGCACTCTCAAGACGGTTGACAAAGTTTATGAGCTCCAGCAAGCATTTCAGTTACAAAATCCTGAACACAAGAGTTTAGTTCCAGGGTCATTTTTTAGTGGTAAATGGACCTGTACTTTCTAATTTCTACTTAGAGCGCTTTTACACTACGGGCCACATTCACCCGTTCACACACATTCACTCAGCGATGGCAAAGTCCATCGAACAGAAACTAACGCATTCATACACATTTGTACACCAATGCACACAGCATCGGGAGCAATTCGGGGTTCAGTACCTTGCTCAAGGATACTTTGACATGTGGCGGCAGGAGCCGGGGATCGAACCAACAACCTTCCGATTAGAGGATGACCAGCTCTTCCTCTGAGCCACAGCTGCCCTTGCCATAACAAGAGTCGGCAGTATATTGCATTCATGACAGCTAAAGGGACTTTGTTGTTACTTGAGAACTGCTATTACAAGTAGATTTCTGACCAACTTGCCCAACCAGGCAAAAAAATACAACAACATTGAACCCCGCTTATCCTATTTCTAACCATCACTCAATGTTAATGTCTTCCAATCATAACCACAATTTTCCCATAATCATAACAAAGCTCATTCAGTTGCCTTAACTCAACCTTAACCATAGAGATGGCACATCAGAAAAAGCCTAAAATATGATTCATGAAGTTTGCCTGTTGAACCGACTTGAGATAAACTAATATTTACCTCTAGCTGCTGACAGAAATCTGAGAAAGAATACTTGCTCCATCAATTTGGTATTAATTATGCCTGATATATTTCATGAAGCAGGAGGAGTGTTACATTATTCAGAGGAACTACAGGAAAAATGTCAGCAATAAACAAAATGCTAAAAGGCTGAAACAGTCTTAACTTTGTCATTTCTAGCCGTATAATATTCCCATAACATGCACTTACTGTAGAACATATCTGATTTCTGTTTTATATTGAGCTGAACAGGTTACACTGATTTTTGTAGCATCGTGTCAGTATGATAAAGATGCTATTCTGTGAAAAGTATTATATTTATTGGGACTTTATCCACATTTAGCATAGGGTGCTTTCACACCTGTAGTCTTATCAGGTTCTCTTATCAGATTCATGATCACGCTGACTCATTACAAACGAGTGTGTAAACAATAACTCCTCAGGACTGACAGGTAACTCACAAAAAATCCTAAAATACTGCAGCTTTCAGACCACAAACGAACCACGCTAGAGTCCAATAGTAAGCAGGCCGAGCCCCCCTTTTCATGCAGTCTCGGTCTGGTTGCTTCCAGTTTGGTTGACGGCTTTCACACAAGCCTAAACAAATCGCTTGGTGTGAAAGTAACACACACTGCTGCAATGTTACCATCAGCCTCCTCCAGTTCAGGCTGTACACACGACTGCATCCCCAGACATAGAGACTGTTGTGACGTTTGCAGATGAAACCACCATCATCAGCTGGATTTCAAACAACAGACTTCATATGGGGAGGAAATCAACAATCTTGCAGAGTGTTGCAGAGAAAACACTCTACCTGAATAATTTGTATATGTACTTGTTTTTTGTTTTTTTAAAGATTATGTTTTTGGGCTTTTATTGCCTTTATTATAGTGACAGGGGGGGGGGGGGGGGGGGGGGGGATGGGGGGGGGGGGGGGGGGTTTGTTCGCCCCGCCCCGCCCCCCCCCGGCGTTGGCTCGCCCCCCCCCCCCCCCCCCCCCCCCCCCCCCCCCCCCTTTTTTTTTTTTTTTTTATAATAGGAAAAATAATACTAATATTATTATATTTTTTTACCTTCTCTTTTTTTCCCTTTTGGGGGGGGGGAGAGGACAAAAATAAATA